CGCTGTGGCCTTTGCTTTTTTGCTAGGAGATGTTAGCGCCGACTCTAGCGCCCCGTACCCCTCCGACTTCGCCTGGGGCGCAGCCACGGCCGCGTATCAAGTGGAGGGTGCCTACAATACGGACGGAAGAGGGATGAGCATTTGGGACACCTTCTCACACATTCCCGGCAAGACCGCTAACGGAGACACGGGGGACGTCGCGGATGACTCGTACCACCGCTACGAGGAGGACATCAAGCTGGCGGTAGAAATGGGAATCACCCACTATCGAATGTCCATTTCCTGGCCGCGCATCATGCCCAACGGAAAATTGCCCCTGAATCCCAAGGGCGTCGCGTTCTACAACGACGTGATCAACACCCTCTTGGCCCATAACATTGAGCCCTTTGTCACCCTTTATCATTGGGACCTGCCCCAGGCCCTGGCCAACGACTCTGCCGGCCAGTCCGAGGGAGACAAGCTCTTTGGTAAGGGCTGGCTGGAGGCCTCTGTCGCGGACGACTTTGTCACGTACGCCGAGGCCTGCTTCCTCCAGTTCGGAGACCGGGTCTCGAATTGGCTGACCTTCAACGAGCCCCTCACCTTCGTCAACCTCGGCTACGGCTCTGGTACGCATGCGCCGGGACGATGCAGTGGATGCTCGCTGGGAGGAGACTCCGCGACGGAACCCTACATCGCCGCCCACAATGTCTTGCGCGCGCACGGGAAGGCCGTTGCCCGCTATCGCCAGCTGAAGGCCATGGCCCCTTCCATGCTGGACGGTAAGATCGGGATCACCCTGAACTGTGACTGGGGCGAGCCTTTCACCTCCTCCAAGGACGATGAGGAGGCTGCCACGCGCTTTTTGGAGTTTCAGCTTGCCTGGTACGCCGATCCGGTCTTTTTCGGGACCTATCCGGCCTCCATGGTCGCCGCGGTGGGGGATCGCCTCCCGAAATTCACCGCCGAGGAGGCAGCGCAGCTGAAAGGGTCGTGGGATTTCTTTGGGTTGAATCACTACACTTCCAAATACGTCAAAAAGCCTGATTACCCGGCCCCTTTGCCAGGGATGGGGACCTCGTGGTACGCGGACGCCCACACCACCCAGACCGACACCTCGATCGACGGGATCCTGATCGGGCCCTTGGGCGATTCCTCCTGGCTCCACGTGGTCCCTTGGGGTTTCAGGAAGATGTTAAACTGGGTGGCCGAGCGATACGGTAACCCAGGCATCTACGTGACGGAGAACGGCTGCGACGTGCCCAACGAGAGCAAGATGTCCCTGGCCGAGGCCTTGGACGACAAATTTCGCGTGGACTTCTACCGAGGCTACCTATCCAACATGGCAGAGGCGATGAAAGACGGAGTCAAAGTGAAGGGCTACTTTGCATGGAGTCTGCTTGACAACTTCGAGTGGGCAGACGGGTACTCGAAGCGCTTCGGTCTCCACTACGTGGACTACTCGGACAACCTCAAGCGCTACAAGAAGTCCTCCGCCAAATGGTACCATGATTACATTCGGGCCCATTCCCCCGGTAAATCACATAAGCTCCGCATGGCAAATCCTAATGCAGGAAAAGGGGGGGGCGAGACCGCGGCCCGCCACAGGACTCTGAAAGCCAGTATTGCCAGCGCTGTTCTAGGCTTTATGGCCGCGTTAGTGGTGGTCGCTGCGGTCATGACCGGCCGAGCGCTGGTCAAGTACAACCATGAGCATCAACAGCGACATTCGCACGTGTCAGGGAGTCACAGCGAGGACGAGGAGGAGGACCACCCTTCTGTCCGGTCTGACTTGCTCTCGCCCCGGATTGGCCTCGGGGGGAAATCCGTGTCTTTCACCTCACTCGGTCCCATGTCATCCGCGGCGACTGGGCGGCCGAGTCGTCGCAGCCCTCGCGGAGTACACTCGGCAACCTCAGCATCGTCTCGCATGCAAGGTTCGGTTTCAATGGGTGTATTAGCGCAAGATGGGAGGGGACTAAGTAGCATGGGCCCGTCCAAATCGATGGGGCAGCTGACTCATTTGTCGCAGCGGAAGTCACACACGAATTTGGAGGACTTGGCTTTACAAAGTAGTGAACCCAGTCTCTTGGGATAATGTCTCACCATGGGGTAGCATACACTTTTTCTTTGTGAGTGTTGTGATGTGAACGTGGCGGTAGCCGCCTCGTGTGTAAGACGTGAGAAAAAGGCATATTTTTGTTGGGGTCCAGCATTGCCACTGTAGGAAAAATAATGCGCAATACACAATTTACAGAATGGATAAAAACATGTGAGATAAAGGGGACTATTAGAAACAGACACGCAAGAGTCTGGCGACGATCGGGTTCTCATCGAAGTAGTTGATGGTGGACGCCAAGTAGGGGTCATTTGGGCATGATCCAGAAGCTATACGAGTAGGGTGTTACTTACCAGCATCGTGGGAACGAGTGCTAAGACAAGCCCGTTGGCGTGATGTCAGTGATACGATTAGCTGCTTGCAAATAGGGGACACAAAGTAGTAGCATGTACAAGGGAATTAAGAAGTTGAATACATTTTGAATAAGGATGGCATCAGAAGGGGCAGAAAACATTGCTTTTTCCTTATTACTGGATCGATTCGCTTCCTCAATGAAACGCCGACTAGAAAAAGGTGTGACTGGGGAATCACCATTTATTCGAAAGCGGATCGATGGCGAGCCACCATAGGCGATGCCATGGGTGTGAAAGGACATCGCAAGAAGATGGCTGCTGCAAGACGAAGCGAAAGAAATCCATGTGATATCATCTTATCCTTGCTCAGCAAAAAGGCAAGAATCTCTTCGTCGGACTACCATCCAAAGGACTCGGGAAGGCATTTTTGAGATCAAAATGAATCAATTGCTTGCATTCTTTCCATCGCTTCCTTCGCCTGCACATAAACATACACCATGACGTAGCTCGCTGATCAAATCTCTCGATTGATATCGTCTGTCATCTAATGCCCTGCTGACCATTTCGCTGTGTTTGAAGCCGATATCCCCCCCTTCGCTTGAGATTTCCCGCCATTCTCACTGCACCTTGATTGTCTTTTCTTCCCAGAGCCCTTTCTCCCCGGCCTTCAAAACTCCATCCCTGTCCATCACCCCTTTGCTTCATAGTTCCTGACCTGCTTGTGTGCATCAAACTATTTAAGCTTGCTATACTCTTGCGACTTTTCAATATTTTCGAAGGACTTACTAAACTCTTGCCTATGCACAACCTTTACCAGTTTGTTTTGGCGAGCCCAAAGGGCCTGCAAAGATCACCATAAGAGCCTCAAAAATGTTGTAAGCTCCTTCCGCTCCCTCAAATAATGCCTATCTCACCTCTAGCCTTCCTCCACTGCCACAGCCTCGTCATCGCCATCCGCGTCCTCTTCAGCCCCCTCGAACGATGCATCATCCAGTCCATCCTCTTCATCTTCTTCCTGTCCTTCAAAGACCAGTGTTGGTGCTGCAAGGTACGCGTCTTTCATCGCCCGCCATCCCACTCGGGCAGGCAACGGGTCCAACCGGGGTCTCCTCCTCCTCCTTTCTTCTTTCCCTGTCCCATGCTGCCCGTAGTACCCGTCTCTACAATCGTCTCGCCCACCGGGACATGTGGCGTAGTAAAAATCAATGTCCTTTTGCGTGCCTGGAGAGCCACCTGGAGGGACTATACTCACGTACCAGCGCACCTCCCCTGCGTCAATCTCGCACCGATAGAGTGTGTAGACCTTCGAAGTGCCATCCGAAAGGATCTTGTCCGTTTTCTTCGTATACGAGTAAGCGCCGTTGACCTTCTGAGGCATCAACATGTAGCTTCCATTAACATCCTCGATGCCCGCTCCTTCCAATCGGCAAGTCGGCGGCGGCAAAGACACCGACGAGTTGTCATCTAATCCCTCCTCTTCCTCCTCCTCTTCTTCCTCCTCGTTCTCCTCGTCGTCATCCTCCTCTTCTTCCCCCTCTGAGGCCGAAAGCATCCTTCCCTCCTTCCTCCCGCCGTTCCGGCGCCGTGCTCTTCCTCCCTCGCCGACGCTTTCCCTCCTTGAGTAAGCTCCATTCCCGGCATCTCTACCTTCATCATCAATTTCCTCCTCCCCCTCAGCTACCAAAGACTGCAATAATGCAAATGACTGCTCCTTTCCCGGCACCATCGACATGCGTGAGTGCAAACTGTCACACAGCTTCAGCATTTCCCTTAGCAAGGGATCTACGGCTTGTTTGAAGAACGACTGACCCGCCAGCAATTGACGCCGTGTCGCCCGTTGTTCGCCTCCACCAAACTTGTCCAGCAAGGAAGAAAGGAGACCCAATCCTTCCCCCCATAGAATTTCTTTCAGCCTCTCCATTTCTAGGCTGTCCTTTACGTTGTAAAGGGCACAAAGGCAGCATGCCAGTGTCTGGAGGCTGATTGGGTTCGAGGAGAGGCCTGAAGGAGCGAACGCTTGATGGTGCTCATGCCGTTGCTGCTGCAGAGTAGAGGGAGAAGAAAGAGGAGTCGCTAGCGGTTGAAAAAGACGGTGGAACTCGGCCAGCATTTGATTGATCAAACAGCGCGAGAGAGCCATGTCTTCACGGACAACGCGCTGCAAGATCCCAGTCGTTTCAGTGGGGAAAATCTCGTACATAGGGGCGTAAAACGCCAACATTCCCAAGGCGAGCCGACTCATCGCCGGCAGCTGCAGTGTCTCCTCTTTCCCTGTCCCTATCCGGGCCGACTGACCCGCGCCCTTCCCCGGCTCCTCCCTTCCTTCTTCCCCTTTCATCTCCTCCACCGCCCTCTTCTTTTCCACCTCCTCGTCTCTTCCCCGCCCACGGCCTCCATGCCGTCTCAAGTCGTTCCCAAAGCCGGACGCCTGCAGGTCGTGCCACACCTGTTTCGCCAACCACTGCGCCTGGTCCCGGTAGTAATCCAGAAAGCCATTCAATGTCAGCCGATTATCATTTCCTTTCTCGTACTTTGCGAGGATACTTTTGAGAGTGGCATGTGAAACCTGCTGCTGCAAAGGAAAAGAAGACATCTCTGCCCCGACGCCTCCCCCATGCCGTCCCCCTCCCATCCCCCCTCCTCCGCCACCCAGACTCGCGCATTTTTCCAAGTAACGGGACAAGTCTTGCATGCTCATGCCCCCCGCCCGAGAATTTTCTTGGAAAATCGTCGTCAATGCCTCCCGCGCTGCTTGTGTCAAGCGCGCCTGAGTGGGGTAATACGACGCAACCCCTCCGTCCCTCCCACCCTCTCCTTCTTCCTTCCCTCCTTCTCGTCCTCCTTCCCATTCCTCCAACAAAGCCGCCTTCGGTGCCTGTGGAAACCCCACCAGCGTTGCGATTGCTTCCATCAAGTACAAGTAATCCGTCACTGCATGTGGGGGATTTACCTGCTGCACAGGTGCAATCCCTTCCACAGGGGAAAGGGGTAGTAGGGGGGAGGCAGCCCCTTCCTCTGATCGAGAACTTGGACACGGACGGATCGGTCCGGTTGTCGCTCCCGCAGACATGGCAGGGGCAGCAGAATGGGAAGAGGACGCGTACGGAAACTGCGACTTGAGAGATGGAGTGGCAGCAGCTCCGAGGACAAACATGGCGAGGTAGAATGCGAAATCCGCCCGGACCAGGTAGAGACGCACAGGCTCTGAGGCCCTGGCTGCGTCTCGAAACAGTGAAAACAACTCATCGACGTGGAGCCAATGCCTATTGGCATCGTGTAAAAGCTGGCCGGCCGCTTCCAAAAAGCGGGCAATTCGACTGTGGTTCCGCGCTTCGGTCAAGGATGCAGCCTGGAGCGCTCTCACCTCCACGTCCTCCCTTGCCAACCGTGCGATGGCGCTCACTAGAAGCTGCAGCACGCAAGCACGAGCAGTGCAATCGCTGCATTCCAAGAAGTAAGTCCGAAGCCAGGATGACCTCGGCGATGAAACGCTTTGCTCCTCTGCGAGATGCTCCTCCGATCTCCTTGCCTCTTTCCAGCTTGGCAGTGGGACCGGTGGAGGAGTGAGGATCAACGCCTCCAACAACCAAGAAGCCATGTCTGGGTCTACCTGCATGGCGTGCCGCAGTAAATTCATCCAAGACTGGACTCCGAGTCGATCTCGCGAGTGCAACATCACGTCCAGCAGGAAGGCCAACCCCATCCCAAACACCTCCTGCCGCACGCTCGACATCTCGGGAGCCAAAGGATTCCAAACGCACTCCGCTTCTCCCGTCTCCATGGACGCCCCACTTGACGTGGGTGCGAGCAAAGAAGGCGACAAGGGACAGAAAACCATGGTCAGCAGACTTGACAGGAAACTGTGGAACTGTGGATCAAAGATATATCGATGGTAGATAAAGGCAACATTGGCGTGCCAAACCTCTTCCTCGAAAGCAGCTCTCCCGTCCAAGCCATACTCAAAGTCGTCTTCCTCATTACCCGTGGCCTTACTGCCCTCGGTGTCGACAGTCATGGCACTTTCGTCTGCGCTTCCTGTGCCTCGGGAGACCTCTCCCGCCACCTGCTTCTCAACATCCTCCACAGCCTCCATGGGTGCACAACTCTCCTCCCTTCCTTTGTGGCCGTCCGTCTGTGCAGATGCGAGAGATGACGTCCGTCCCCGGGGGCGGACTTTTTCATAAAAGAGCATCAGAGCGTTGTGAACCCGCTCTTGCTCCACGTAGTTTGTGACCCCGTTCCAAGTCGTCGGCTTCGAAAACGTTCCCCCGAAGCACTGGGTCTCTATCAAAGATGGATCGAAAGAGGTTACGTCTTCGTCGTCAAACTTGTGCCAGGTATCTTCGCGCTCTCGGTCCTTTATGAATGAGTAGTAGTGCCCGCCTTGGGCAATGCCTGCGTGAATGACCACTCCCTTCAACTCGTAGTCAAACTCCTCGTCCTCAAACACCATAGGCACATCATTCACCAAGGACGCTGGTTCAGTCATACCCTCTTTTCTCTCTTCTCGTTCTTGAAGTCCTACGTCCATGTCTTCTCCGTTTTCCCTCACTTGCAATTTCTGCAGCGCCTCTGTCTGAGACGCTTCCTCCAACCCCTCCCGAGTGTAGGGCTTCATATTTAGTCGCGTGGGAAAAGCACATCGATTATTCAATTTGACCGTCTCAAAAGTGGTGAAATCCAGGTCAAACCTTTTCAAGTGGAGGATCAACAGGTTCGGTAGACTCCCGAGACAGATCCTTCGCACCGTAGGCTTTTTGGTATTGCACCCCTCGCATTCCACCTTATTCTCACCGTCCATCAATTCTCCTTCCACAAATGCTGCCAAGCTTTCTTCTATCGATTCTTTTCCCTTGATAATCAATTCGATTTTGATAAAAGGCTCCTCCCGTTCTGCTCTGTGTTCACATCCCTGTGGTAATTTCTGGTAGGCCAGCTTTCCACCAAAGCATCCCTCTTCTAAATCAACGAGCTGAGGAGTACCCTTCAGAGAGGCCTCCAGCTGATCAAGAAGCTTGTCGCAAAATTCCGAGGCGTCGTTTTGTTGATAAACAGAATAGTTCAGGTTGAGACATCTGCACGCTTCCACCAAAAATCGTGGGTCGAAGTAGCGCTTTTCGCTGCCGCTTAGATAGCAGAATGTCCGTTGCATTTGCTCCAGGACACGTTGCGCCTGTTCAACTTCGCGAACGGCTGACAAAGAGGAGTGCAGCGGAGGAGGGATCACCTGGAAATGCCCAGTCTCCTTTCCCGCCCGACCCTCTCTCAATTTGAGCCTTACGCTGGCGTTGATCTTTTCATTACCATTCGCCCCTCCCGCCCCGTCGTACTTGATCGTATGCTTTCCCGTGCTGCCATCAAAGCTCGTCACCGTTGCCTCCATCTTAACGGTCCCTTCTTCCGTCTCCCAGTCTACAAGAATCTGCCGCCCGATTAGCTCCTCGTCTCTGAACATTTCACCCGACACCATCCGCCGTCGTTTCACCCGCGCGGCCAGGATGGCATCTCGCAAGCGAGGAACCATAAAAAGTTGCTGCAGCAGAGAATTCATGTAACAAGTACAACCTTGGTTTCGCAGCCCCACGTACTGTCCTGGATAAGATTTGGTCTCATGCAGGTACTCATACTGCCATCGATCGCGAAGTCCACTGGCTGCCGCCTCGGTCAACGACATGACTTGGCCGAGAATGCTCTCCATCTGCCGGGAGCATTGCTTAGCTCGCGTCAGAAGGCTCGAGAAGACCAATTGCCTACATTTTGCTTCTCCTGCCGCGCAAATCGGTCGGCCATGCGCATTATTTTCCCGTAGACTGGGCACTGCGAACAAAAAGTCCGCGAAAGCCTTCCCGATTAAGTCACCCAGCACAGTACCAGCCAGTAGACTGCCATCATGGTCCTGTTCCACCAGGCAATTCAACAGTCGAAGTAAGCCCAATAAAACTGGAGCCGATTGACCCCCTTCCTCCGACTTCAGCTCATTCGATACGCTTGCGCTGCGACTTCCGCTGATACGGGGGTAGTGGACAAGGCGGCGCGTCACAAGCTGAGCAAGAGCTTGAACCAGATCGTCTCCGCCGCCAGTCGGAGGCGTCGGGGCTATGACCGTTGACATTTCCTCCGAAACACCTGACAACTCGCTCGTCAAGACCATGGGTACCGGTGCTGAGTTTCCAGCACTGTTAGGTCTTGCAGCCAAAGGCGGTTTGCGGACAAAAGAAAGCTCCTGAAGGACATCAAAAAATTCCAAACAGGTCACTGATTCGACCTCAAGCATTTCGAGCGCCGATAGACACCAGGTAAAGACACTACGGCGAAGCAGCGGAGCATCAGGGCCCAAAATGAGATCTCGAGTCTGCTGTCGTACTTTGCGGTGCGGATTGCGGAGTAAGAGGCCGATGAATAGGGAGGGAGCAGTGTTATGCGTCACTAAAGCTGAGACCAAATCGTTGGTGATGGCATTACAGCTGAAGGCAGCAATCGGATTTGTTGTTGGTATTTGACCTGTCTGATTTACAGAGCCATCTGCACATGTCGTCGCTCCCGACTCACTTATCGTATTGCTCCCTGATGAGTTGGCAGGCACGCCTGACCGTCGCAGCAGCAGTTCAATAGTTGCCAACGCGTCAGTAGACACATTGCATGTCTCTTCTCCCTTGCCATGCTCGGTTCCTCCTACCGCAGCCTCGTGAGCTTGTGCCGCTACTTGCACCAACCGATTTAAGAGCTGACGCACTCGCTTTCCACCGCCCAGGAGCTCGTCTGGACCGAGCATCTTTCCCGGCAAAGCCTCCGCAGCTTGCATCTCCATGGTTGCCGATGACGACGTCTCCGATGGCGGCCCCTCTGAGGCAGATCTTGCCGGTACAGAAACGGTGCCACGGATAGTTGTAGCACTGCTTTCGTCTACCGATTCTCCTTTCCTGACCCTCGATTGCTGCTGCCCGAACAAGAAAAACTTAACGATGCGCAAGGAAACTGCTGTGGCCATCCATTGAACCACAGATACCGGAGCCTCGTCACGCTTTGACACGACATGGCTCCCATTGTCTCCTTCGCAGTCTGAAAATGTATTTCCACCGACGCTTGTACGCATGAGTACATCCAACACGTGAGTAAATCCACCAGTTTTCAAGAATGCAGCGTGAAAGTCTTCGGGGGGCACTGAGTCATCTTCATGGAGGGCATCTTCAGACGGTTGCAGAAACGCATCGATCACTTGCATGTTGTATACAGAGCGATGCCAAGCTTTTGTGGAAATTAGAGAGGACCACGAAGGAGAACTTGATGCCTCTGCCGAGATACAAGGTTTCGAACAGACGGCGACAGAAGAAGGGGCAGGCTGCATAGCGGCCTGTCTGACCATTTGCAACGCATGCTTTTGGGTGGGAAGAACTAGCAAAAGCTCCCAAATATTTTTCATGAGTGCCGCATTGCTTTTGTCACCGACGCTCTTTCCATCGCCTAACGCGTCCAACGACGAGCAGGCGGACACGGACGGAGAGTGTGAAGAACAGCATTCCAGTAAGTCGAAGAGTATGTGACAGTATTTTTCATTCGTCGCAATCATATCCCCAATGGCTGGAGGAGCGCTAGCTTTCATCGTGGAAGCTGCATAGATATCTTTCACTCCAACAGATGATTGAGAAGTCGTCAGATCGGTTGGGGCCGAGTAGGAGACATTTCCATGCTCTGCTGAGGCTCCCCCTCTAAGTTTTTGGAACCCGTTTGTATTGACATCGCGCCCTCTACCACCATAGGGGAGATCTCTCCGCTTGTGTCGCCGGCCGGTTGTAACGGAGGAGGATGGTGCGATTGAGGTTGAGACATGGAGTGGGGGACGATAGATGACCCGGGATTGGAGTGTCCAGAGTGATTTAGGCTCTTGCTAAAGAGTACGGCATTAACATCGGCCCCCTCCGCCAACCCCAAGGAGCCAAAACGCATCTTTAGCCTGTTCAATTGCTTAGGCATACCTGGTACTACCAGGCGGACTTGCTCCACGGGGTGTTGACAACGGACTGCAACACGTCGACGCAAGACACCCACGGTCTCGAGCGGATGCATGAGAATGGATATTGGCTCCAGTCTCTGTGCCCCCCCGCCCGTGCTCGTGCTCAAACCCCCTCGCACAGTAGTTTGGGAAGGAATCATTCGACGCGGTTCCACCACTACCAGGAGGCGACCTGCCTGACCACGCACCCCGTGAGCAAGCGACTGCGCACCGAGAGTGCTGCCTACTGGAGTCAGGCTAGAGGAAGTAACCGCATCATCCGAAATACAACCCAGGATCACACCATTAAAACCAATAGCACCCTGGATCAGCCTCAGACAACGCTCAGCCCTCAGGATAGTATCTTGAGATTGCTTCGATGGTTCCGATGGCATTTTGGAGAGCTTGCGGCTGTCGATGTCGTCCACGGAGGCACTCGCTTCAATATTGTTACGAGAGCTCAATTCAACCCGGCATGCGTCCAGACTTCCAAACACACGCTCCAAAAAATGAAGCCGCAGCTCCACCAGATTCCCTCCCTTCCCGCGTCCACGTCGCTGACAGGTATTCGGCATCGATGCAGGCAACGACGTAGGCGATGTTGCCTCCGACGCTGTTACCATACTGGGGTCTGGCATCGTCGAGGCTACCACGCCTGTCGACGTGCCTTTTCCATCCTCGTTTCTGTCCGTCTGACGAGTGCCCGTGTCGCTGTACACAGAAAGTAAGTCCCGCGTGGCGGCATCTGCCACCGATTGCGTGCGAGCCGTTAAAGCTATGCGCCAAAGCGCATCCAAGGCTACGGCTAACGTACTTTCATGCTGTAAATCATCCTTTTGTCCCTGATGCCGCCGCTTTTTTGGATCTACACCACTCCTCCCTAAAAGTATGCCGTCATCAAATTCATCGACCTTTTTCTCCTCTTCCTCCTCTTCACTCCCTTGCTTGTACTCCTGCGAATCCCCCGCATCTCGATCCCATTGCCGAAGTCCAGTGAAGTATGCGTTAAAACATCCGTAGGCTTGATCGCCTAGGCCAGTCCAATCCGCCCGCTGGCAGACAATATCTCGAAACGCAGTCCACATGACCGTCGGTGAGAAGGCCAGCGGCACCAATCCTTTCCCCTTTTGACAACTTTCAGGTGCATTTACACTTTCCCCCGTACCAGCAGCCGTTTTCTTGCTTGAGCTGGTGCCAGCATCGCGAGGGAGGCACGCCTCGGAGAGAAACAGCAGAAAAAGTTCCTTCTCGGCAGGGGAGTCCAGAACGTCCCACAAGGCCATAAGCTGTGGGAAACTGAGCTTTACTGTCTCGCTGTGTGAGTGCACGTATCGAATCACATCCAGGCGCATTTTCACACGGTCAAGTAGTAGGGCCGTGGGAAGCGCTGGCGTGGGGCTGTTTGAGGGGTTGAAGACAACCGTGGATACTGACGCAGGCAGCGACGAGGATTGAGGGGACCCTATGCATGAAGTGGAACTCCCCATGCTAGCGACGGAGCCCGTTAAAGCGCGTTGTTTGAAAGTTTTGAGCTCCTGGAACAGAAGCTCTGGAAGATGATTCTCCACTGCTAGCCTCTGTAGGGCAGGGGCAAGATCTGTGGCCGGGAACACCTCCAGAAGAAATTGCGCCATCTGTAAGGCGTTGATAACTTCGTCCTCATTCACCACGTTCTTATGCTGGTGCTGCGACGTTCTTCTTGAGTCATCCGCGCCAAAGTTTAAGATGGGTAATGCAACTGTAGAACCTTTCTTCTGCCCTACGCCCCCCCCATAAGTTGTTGTCGATAGTTGAATGGTCCGAAGACATTGCTTGAGGAAAGCTGTCTGACGCTCCGTTCCAGGCAAGACTTGAAGACTCTTCGCGAAGAGGTCCCGGGTGACGCGCACACCTTTTTGGGAGCGGGTGCCAGGGTGCTGCAAGACTTCCCAGAGAAGTCGGAGCAGGCTATCAATCCCCTCCGGCCCATGAAGTGCCAGCAAATCTTGGACTTTCAAGTCCAACGCGAGCTTCTCGACGAATGCCAATGCCTCCAGCACAGCGTTTTGCGCACAAATCGACTTCTGAATTGTATCAAACAAACGGATGGTCAAAGGAGGAGTGAGTGAAAGAGGAATCAGCGCCGCAAGGGCGGCGTGGATCTCCTCCACCAGTTCGGTCTCCGGCTGCCCGATACTAGCCCGCCAAATTCGCTCGAGATGCTCGTCAGTCAAACCCTTCATGTTCGCCATCAGCTTCAGTAAACCTCCGGCCCTAATCACCACCTCTCTGTGCATGGAGGGACCGAACACGTCCTCCAGAACGCGGTTTTCGATGGCCCACTGCAGGACCCTGTGCTCCAGGGACGCCTCCTCCTGCCCGGCATCGCATAAGGGCTCCAGGCGCTCCACGGTAGGGGCAGGGGCCTTTCCCTTGGATGTTCCTGAGCTGCAAACCAGCCAGCCTACCGGGTGGGGCTCGTCTTGCTCTCTAAAGATGGACCTGTGCTGGTAATAGTCGACGTCCTGGTCTGTTCCAGGACAGGCGTTGTCCGCCTCGGAAATAAACCACCATTTCTCCTTGCACCGCATCAGGCAGCGAAAAAGCGTCAAGACGGTCCCATCGCCTGCCTGGTGCTGATACTCCGGGGCCCCGTTTCGCTCTCGCACGAAATCATAAATGCCGTTTGCCCTTGCCTCTCCAGCCCCCTTAACCCTGTATCTCCGGGCAATGGGACGGGCACTGCTGGCAATACGAATGATGTCGCCCATCTGCTCCCAGGCCGACAAGCGGAGGGGGAGGGAAGAAGACCTGATATGAGCATGCGCCAATGCCAGCCAAGACTGCATAAGTGCATCCCGGTCCACCTCGTCGTCCGAATCTTGGAGCCGTTTCCTCAACATCTCCGCCAAGGCGGACACAGCAAGCGCCGGCTCAAGTTTCAAGTCCTCTTCCGCGAGGGTCGACAAGGGCTCGCGCAAGCAAAGTGCCACTTCCTCCACCACTCCCTCTGTCAAGCGAGCGAGATTTTTTGCTTGCTCAGGGTTGTTTGGAGCCAATCGCCGCAGCAGTGTGGCCACCACTTCCCTGCCCTCAAAAGCGGCTTGCAAGAGGATCCTGAAATTCTCACAACCCATCCAACCCTGCTTTTTCGCGCGAAGGGTGCGGCAAAGCAGGTCGAAGCCGCCGTTTTCCATAAAATCTCCGATAAGCCTCAGACGGACTTCGTTTGGCGGGCCGGCCCCGCCCCAGTATCCACCTGCACCGGCAGCCTTGTAAAACGTGCGCTTGCGGTTGAATATCATAAGCAGAGTGGGCAAGAACTCCTCCTGCTGTCTTTCTAGGGCCAGAATTATGATATTCAATGCCCAACGTAAGGAATTGTCCACGCAAGAGCGTTGATGGATATCAATGCGGTGGGCGACTTGATCCAAGAGGATCCCCACAATCTGCTCCAGGTGGGCGTGCAAAAACGTTTGTGCCTCGGCCTCGGAGAAGCGATCGTAGGCAAGATGAAGTGAGTCCACCGCATTATCCCACCCCACGCTAGCAGTTTTGGACAGCGCTTCCGTGACGACGTGGAAAAGCTCTACTTTGAGCGTCTTGTTCTCTTCTTCCATTTCGTCTCCTTGACTCTTGTCTTCTTCCTCTTCTAGACTGTCTGCCTCCTCTTCCAGACCTTGCTTGATCCCTCGCTCCTCTTCTTTATCTAGTTCAGAGCCAAGTGGTCGCAAATTGTCCAGGGAGAGCTCAGGAAGCAAGGATTCCGACAGGCGAGGCGCGGCCTCTCCCGAATCTGGTGGGAGATTTCGAGATGATATCGACGGTTGTGAATCCTGAGGGGAGGACGTGGGCAGCAGCGGCTTTGGCCCGCCGCTGCTTCTATGAGTACTTCCGCTGCTGTCACTTCTTCGGTTGTTGTTTGTGGTTGCGCTTTCTGTTTCCTCTTCCGCCTCGCCTACAGAGGAGCGGCGCCTCTTGCTGGGGGCCCGTTGCCTGGTACTGCGGTGCGTGTTCAAAGGGAGCGCAAAGGAAATATTAAAATGCATTCAATTGTACATGATTAATAACGGGGTGCAATGCATGGTCACAAGCATCGATGAATGCGTGCTCCATTTCATTTACCTCTCGTCGTCTGGTGGTGGGTTCTCAATTTTTCCCTTTCAGCCACAAGGCACATCCAGGCTTCCTGCTCCCACTTCCTAGGCCTGTATCATGAAATGATCATTTGAGTAAGAAAATATCTCGTCGGTTTTCATGAGCTCTTCGTGCATAGAAAGGCATCATTGTGTTGCTGAAACGCGCTTCTTGTGATACGAGGAAGAAAGAGCGAAGAGAGGAAGAAAAGTTGCCCCCGGGTGGTCCTGGAGTTCCATAAGGACTAATTATACGGACACACACGCATCCTCTCCTCACAATTTTTGTCGTCATTTATTTACAATGCACGCGACACGCGAAACAACGTCGGTGTCAGCACAATGACCTCCTGTATTTTTCGATTAGGCACCAAGAGAAGACTCGCGCAAGACGTCAGGAAGCTCCGGAGGGAGACTCGGTCGACCTCTCGGTGGGCTGATTATTTGGCAAAGAAAAAAAATGTATCCCACCAATTTATACCGACCACATAATTTTTTTCTGTATACTTTGACGACAACACAGGCTGAGAGGAATGATACGGCGTGCTTTGCGGCGGACCACCTTTGTCCGACTGTCTTCAGAGGCCGCCACCTCAACATGTCCTGAACGGAATTACCCCCCTGTTGACCTCTTCCATCCGCCTTACGCGCCTGCTCTATGGGACCAGAAGCATCAGCAGAATCATCGCAGGCAACAAAGCCGTGCATTCTCAGACCTAGGAAAAGGCATAGACGTGCTGGCAGTGGGGAACGAGGAGGAAGCGGGGAGGGAGAGGACTTTTTTACTCGGCTACGATGGTCAGGGGTTCGAGGTACGGGATGTCAATTATAGGGGATCCATCCTCGCATTGCCCACAGCATGTTTTCTGTGGAAGCCGAAAAAGATTGAAGAAATTACACCCGAGTCGTTGGCGCCACTCTTGATTGTGAAGCCAGCAATCGAAATCCTCATTATTGGCACTGGGGAGGAGGTTGTCGGTCGCGCGTTGGCTCTCACGACTTTGAAATTTCTAGCCGCAAACGGTGTGGCTGTTGAGCACATGGATACGACTTCGGCATGTTCGACCTTCAACATACTCAATCAGGAAGATCGGCGTGTCGCGGCTGCTTTGCTGGCCGTAGATGCGGCCGCAGAAGAAAGTGAATCCTAGCACACGCACCTTCTGGGTGCAGACATTCCATGCGGCCATTACTCCTCCGTCAGTATCACATTTACGTGGCAGTTGTGTCACAAAAAAGATGAAATTGAAATCAACACCGACATGTGTGACAAGCATGATAAGCAAGCGGTCCGCGTCCGTTCGACAGCAATTGTAATAGTTGCACGGCATGTAAATTATTAGATTATGGACTTCTCGGAGAAGATGAGAAGCTGTGAACTTGCAAAGGCTCCAGCATAGTACAAACAAGATTTGTCCATTTTTTTATAAGATAAATTCCACTTATTACAGCGCATGAGGATCCTGGCGCCACGATCAGTAATCTTGGATATTCACTTATCCGGCGAGTGCTTAGTTGAGCACTATGTGCTGTTTGTCATCGATCTTCTTAGTGTACCTTTGCTTTCCATGTGAAAATTGATACTTTTTGAAGCCGGCCCGCTCCGTTTCCTGAACACATAACTGTTAGTCTCGTCCACATGTCCTTTCACGTATCCTTTCATTGCCGGTCTCCAGACACATGGTGATACGCACAGAATATAACACATAAATGCACAGCTGCTCCCTTTATACCTACCCCCATACTCATTGTTCGCCTAGACTTTTTCTCGCCAAATGCTGGTCCCGTTGCTCCGGACACTACCACAGCCGTTGCCCTTTCCTTCCATCCATTCTGCTTTGACTGTGCCCGTCGCGGTGGAGGCGGCTCGGCCGACGTAAATCATGGGACTCAACGTGCATTTCGACTCTTCCTGTGGCTGTCCGCCCTTGCACACAGTTGCTGGGGTAGTAGGATCCCTCTGGAGTGGAAAAACAGTGCTGTCGTCCATCGTGATACAGGTAGAACAAGCAGAACTGGTATCCCCGCGTTTAGACGCTCGCTCACTACCCGTCTCTTCAACAGCAGCCCGCTTTTCTCCACGCAGAGAATTCGTGTCTTCTACCTCCAATTGCTTTTTTTCCCCTCCTTCAGGCGCGACTTCTCCGGCGGCTATGTGATGAAGCTTCAGCGCCTGAGCCGCTGCTTTGCGAGCTACTTTTTCAGCGCGCCTCGCTTCTTTTCTTTCCGCGTGGCCATTCTCCCATTCCTGCCGGCGGATAGCCCGATCCTTTCGACGTTGCTCCTGTAATGTCCGGGCGAGTTTCTTTTCCGTAGCCTTCCTTTCCTGAATTTCTGCTCTTTCCATGCTCAGGCGCTTGAACTTAGCTTCGAGCCACTCCCCTTTCTTCGCGTCTTTCAGCGCCCGAATCTCCTCGCGAACACTTCCCCGGTTCTGAATGTACCAAATGTCGCGTAGCACGGGGTCCGTAAAGTTCTTGACAAGCTGTCGCCGGAGAACAGCAACTCTGGGCTTGACATCCTCAGAGCATGTCAGGCGTACCCGCTTCAAGAGACGGTACAAGTCAAAAAGCGGGAGAAAGAACGCCTCCCCGCCCTGAGTACCTGAGAGAAGATAATGCAGAGGATGGTATCCTTCTCTTGAAAGATCTTTCAACAGTCCTTCAAACACTTTCAATTGCTTCTCCACTACTTCGTTCGTACGTTGCTGCTCGATCGCCAAGGTCAGGCGGTGATTGTGGCCTGTCATGGTGTTCAAGATCTTGGGCACTTCAGGTGACAGGTGCAGCGACCGGCATCCGGGCAACGTCAAAAGGGCTTCATCCTCCGAATGGCAATTTTGAGAGGGTTGTGCCTCGGCATGCTGTCCGATGGATGGCGGAGCCACAGTGCTACTTGTCCATGAGGACCCAACTCCGGCACCCGGTTCAGAACTACCGTCTTTTCTCCGCTGTCGCCTTTTCTTCCATTTACCAACTTCTTCACCAAATCCTGCTCGCTGCTCACCGATTCCTAGCGATTCCTTCGTCAGCAATTCCAAGTTTCCATCCCGGTATCTTCGAATTGTACCTTCAGTCGCCCGTTGTACCCCTGCTCGGAGAGTCGGGTGAGCGCTCTTTGCTGTACTTTTGAAGCCGCGACACTGCTTACTACTGCTTAGAAATGTATTCGAGATTGATTCAGGGGCGGCACCGGAAAAAGAAGGACGGACATCACCCGGCAAAGGACGCATTTTGCTTAGTTCTATCATGAACTTGTACTTCTTACTCATTGTCAAATCACGAAGAAGGTCGAACATGACTGACCCATGGCATTGGATAAAAGACATATCAAACTTATGCTCCGTCATCATTCCGATAAGGGTTTCCAAGTCCATCAGCTGATGCTCTTCCGTATCATCCGCTTCGATGACGTCTCGAATGAAGAGGTGGATGGCTACAGAGTACTGAACACATTGGATGAAGACTTTCGCATAAGGCGCGAAGTCTTTCGAAGGAGACATCAAGCGATATATGCCATGCCTCGAATGGAGCCATAAACCCTGGTACTTTTCTTCCGGATGTGCGTATATGCTCCAAGTCTGTACTGATGCTTCTATTGGTAGTCTCGACGTGCTGACCGAAGCAGACGACGCGGGAACAAGATTGCTGCATGTGAAGTATAATTTTTAAATATTGTGTTAAAATACTGTGTTGCAAGCGCCTTTGTCAATTTAGTAAGCACACTATCGTCGAAATACGAAAGCAACACAAACAATCAAAGTGACTTACCCGTAAAGTGTCAGCTTTAGTTTGCTGCGCTTTTGCAACTGGTCCAGGCTTTCAAAATGGTTCTGTTTGTTTGAAAAAAGCGGATTGGTGGCGACGCATGAGAGCACCACATCCATCCAAGTATCTACTCAAAAGCAAACCGAAAAGATAGCAGATGGAGATGCTCTGAAATCATGAAGCGTCACAAACAGACCCTCACACAGCGCATAACAGGAACGTCGCCATGCTTCGCGCAGCTTGTCCATGCTCCTGAGAAAAGACTTTGCTTATTGCATTTTAGCCGTACCTTGACACCTTTCAGACTGTAATCTTGTATATAGCGGTAAGGCTTATCTATGACACCGCTCCTATCTTTAGCCGCTGCTTGCAACCGAGTTTCAGGATCCTTCTCGTATTCAAAGACTTGCGAGAGCTTCGTATCTTTTGCTAAAGCTTCCTCTCTCATGACGCTGTGCAATGGCAGTGACGATCCACCCCGGCACTATGTATGGTCCGCAAAGAGCAATCCAGCTTAGCAGTTGCTTTTGTTTTCCCTCCAGCTAATTGGTAGAGGGGACTAATCTTAAATTATTCCGAGAAAATCAATGCTCGAATGACTGAACCAAAATTAAGAGCAGACAACGTAATATCTCTTACGCTCAAAAAAACATGCTGGGTCACAAGTCACACGAGCTCGAATTGGTAGTGCCAGTAGCGAGGTAATGATGGAAAAGTAGCGACACGGAGCAAGGAGGCGACCAGACGCAAAAGCCGAGCGACAGCCAAGCGGCCAAGAAATAATTCGAGCAGCACTAACGACACAAACACCTTGGATCACTCCCCGTGCCTCTTGTCCAATGCACCACACTTAAACATTACTATAGTGGTTTTCTCACGCACCAGATGAAAGACGCCGAAGGTGATGTAGGGGGCAGGAGGTGGTTGCGCGGGAAAGAAAACGGGATCGGGAGGATGGCTGATCGTCTGGTCGTCGACGAGAGACCACCAGGAGGGAGACAAGCTGGAGGAGTAACAGAGTCGGAGGCTCCGAGAATAAGCGGGTTGGATTCTTGAACAACCATGTCAAGTCGCCTACCTTTTCGAGTGATCTTTAAAGGAATGCCTCATGATCCATTTTATTCAATCCACGATCCGAAGTAGCGTAAATTTAATTTTTTTTTGAGTGTGTGCGTGGTGAAGAAAAATACCTCATGTACAATGGGCCAGAAATCGACATATCCAATTTTATGCACACTGGCATGACTGCACCCGTTTTCTTTAAAATTCCGAACATCTACGAAGAAGTTGCGTCATATCTGTATAGTTGCTCTCTTGAAAGCTTGCGAAAACGCAGGTTTGTTCGTTGCTCGTCTTTTATGCTGGCTACCATGGAAGGACTTCCATCCAGGTCGGCTTCATTGCTTTTCTCTGATTCGTACCCATCGTCCTCTGTTAAATTGTACAGGTGTCGCCTGTGTGGGCGCATTCCAATACTATTCAGATGAGCCGGCCTAGAATCTCCTTCCAAACCAGCCAGTCCAGGCCTTTTACTTCGTCCTCCTTTAGAAAAATGCCATGCAAATACCAATCCCACCGCGATTATCATGAAATACACTCGAATCCATGATAGATCTAATGGCTGGGATCTTTGATGGGGCAACAGAGCTTCAAAAATAACTATTTCGTTGACATGATCTCGAGGAGGCAATTTAGTCTCCAAATTCCAATTAGAAGGTTTCCCCATGAGTATGACAAAATTGCAAGGTGATCTAGTATTGAAGGCTGTTCCACCTTCAGATGCTGTCATCTCAGTTGCTGTAATGAGATTGTTCAAATGCATGCCGTCGTTCGACGCGCAATCTGCGCGGCCAGAAGGAATAATTGGAGCAAATTTCAAATGAAATAGTAGAGGTAGGGGCAGATAAGTGTTGTGCAATCCTGTGGTGTTCCAAGAAAAAAGACTTCCCCGTGCGGAGACTGCAAGAAGATATCCTCCAGGTAACATAGCAAGAGAGAGCGGTGCATCGCCTGTTGTCCCGATCGACATGTGAACACCGTGTCGGTAAGACGACGGTTCTACTATGTACCCTTTTCTGGGCCTACGATCAACCCATGTTTGTAGTTGAGCGAGCGGCAGAGCATGTGTCTAGACTTACCCTCACTTCGAGACGCAAATTTCTTAATCAGTTTACAACTCCCTTCTGCTGCACCACTTGTATCCGCGTACACATGCTGCGATTGATACGGTTGGCTTCGCCGCGACTTGGACATTAGTCTGAATGTCAATAGATCTCCTTGAGCGGTAGCAGCGTGCAAGATCTGTGGAACAAGCGAGTCCACGACCAGAGAATGCAAGGCACCATGCTGCCCCCGCAATAGGTATTTGTGGTCTGTTCGAGCGTCTTCGCGTTCAAGGACTTTACGTCACTTGACGTGCAGCGACGGGTGTAAGAGAATAAATACCATAATATCACATGTCATAATTAGATGTTTTAACAACTTACCTGCCAGCTGTGTAGAACAGCACATTCCGGTGGCGAATCATGGCGTATATTGGTTGACCGGTAGAAACCGTCTGCAGAAAATGCGCATTGACACTAAAGTGAGACCTTCATCAATCTTTTCCTCGACTCTCACATAAAGGGGAGTAACTTAAATTCAAGACACGCATACTTTACTATGTCGCACGCCTTTCGGTCGACTGGTTTTACCTTGAACAAAGTCCCATTCCTAAGATGGGCCTGAATCTTGCCGGCTTTGTTCCCAGATATTATCATCAGACCGTGCGCGCGATTCTTGTGCA